ACACAAGTGCGGGCTTATCCATTTCAGACCGAAGACAGGATCGATCGGGTATTTTCCTTTTGAAAGTACAAAGTTGTGTTTGAGGGGGATGTCCTACGAGATCCGGAGTTCAGGCGCCTAGAGTTGCACAGCATGGAAACAGACCCTTTGGTCCAATTTGTCTATCCCACCCTGATTCCCAAATTGGATTAGTCCCACCTGCCTTCGCTTGACCCATATCCCTCCAAATATTTCCCCTTCATGTACTTATCCAAATGGCTCTTAAACATTGTAACCTCCATTTCTTTTCAAACTTTTGAGCAAACTAAGGCTTGAAAGTCTTGCGGCTGTGATGCCTTGGGACTACCCCTTGTTTTCGGTGCTGGTTTGAGTCGATGCGATCCTTGTAATCAGCACGGGGAACTCTGTGAATTCGAAGCAGCCTTCACGCAGGTCTTTCACTTCCGTGGGGGCAAGTGTTGAACTGTTCCGCATACGAGCCACCCTCTGTGTGGAAAAAGCTGCCCCTCGGTTCCCTTTTAAACCTTTCTGCTCTCTCCTTCTGCCTCAACCCTGGGAGAAAGACCTTTGCTATTCACCTTGTCTGTCATCATGAGAGATTAGTCATGGCCCAAGCCTCCTGGATTGCCTTGATCCTTTGCAATTTGTCGACAGGCACAACAGGTCCACAGGAGACGTCATCTCCCTGGCCCTACACTCATCCCTGGAACATCTGGATAACAAGGATACCCAGGTCAGGCTCCTACTCGAGGTGCAAAAACAAAGTTGCTGGAAAAGCTCAGCAGGTCTGGCAGCATCTGTGAAGGAGAAAACAAGAGTTAACGTTTCAGGTCCGGTAACCCTTCCTCAGAACTGATGGTGGCTGGGAAAACGTCAGTTTATATGCAGAGGAAAGGGAGGTGGGTGGGGTAGGGAGTAAACGATAGGATAGAGCCCAAAGAGAGAGAAAGGCAGTTGGACAGACAAAGGAGTTGCTAACGATCAGGCTGGGAGGGTAAATAGTTGTTAATAGGGACTGTTAGTGACTAACAGCAGGGGGTGTGTAATGGCAGGCCTGGTGTGTGGGGTAGGGGGCTGGGACATGGGAGACTTTAGGCCCTAAAATTTATTGAACTCAATATTGAGTCCGGAGGGCTGTAGGGACCCCAAGCGGAAAATGTGGTGTTGTTCCTCCAGCTTGCGTTGGGCTTCACTGGAACACTGTAGCAAGCCGGAGACCGAGATGTTGGCCAGGGAACAGGGTGGTGCGTTAAAGTGGCAGGCAACAGGTAGTTCAGGGTCTTTTTTGCGAGCAGAATGTAGATGTTTTGCGAAGCGGTCGCCAATGTACAGGAGACCACATTGTGAGCAGCGAATGCAGTAGACTAGATTCTGGGAAGTGCAGGTGAAGTGTTGCCTGGAAGGTATGTTTGGGCCCTTGGATAGTGGGGAGGGAGGAGGTAAATGGGCAGGTGTTGCACCTTTGCCGGTTACAGGGGAAGGTGCCGTAGGGCAGTGGGGAGGTGTTGGGGGTGAAGGAAGTGTGGACAGGGTGTCCCGGAGGGAACGGTCCCTGCAAAAGGCAGACAAGGGAGGGGAGGGGAATATGTGTCTGGTGGTGGCATTTCGCTGGAGGTGGCAGAAATGGCGTCTGATGAATGTGTTTCTGTGCTTTTGTACAGCAGTCTGTTCCCAAACACAGCCAAGGTCATCGCAGAGCTAACAAAGCAGGTCAGGCAGCACCAGAGGAGCAGGAAAGTTGACGTTTCATGCCCTGTAGTGACCTTTCAGACAGAAACAGGCTGTTTTTTTTCACACTTTGCCTGCATATCACCTGTTTTCCCCTTTCAGTTGCTTATTGTCATGTCAAATGAGCCCTCAACTATTGCAAAAGCAACGGGGAACTCCAGACTAGCGTGCATAGACCACACGTACTCAATTACACTAGCAACCACCCCAACGCCCACGAACAGAGCTGCATCAGGACGCTATTTAAACGAGCCACAACACATTGCACAACCCAGAACCACGCAAAGCAGAACAGGAGCGCCTATACGGAGTCTTCAGAAGGAATGGATACCCGAAAAGCACAATCCGCAACAGGAAGGCACAACTCGACTAGAATCACATATCGTCCAACCACACATCAAGGACATTTCAGAGATGACCACAAGGCTACTCAGACCCCTCGGTATCAGAGTAGCCCACAAACCAGCAACCACCCTGCGACAGCTACTGACGAACGTAAAAGATTCCATACCCAGAACCAGCAAAAATGGGGTAATATACAAAATACCGTGCAAGGACTGTGAGAAACACTACATCGGCCAAACCGGAAGAAAGATCCACAATACAGACACACGAACACCAACTAGCCACCTAGAGAGATGACTAATTCTCGCTTGTCTCACTGCACACGGACAACGAGGGATGCAAATTCGACTTGGGACAACACACCGATAATCGCACAAGCCAAACAGAGACACGCCAGGGAATTGTTGGAGGTATTCCAGCCAGAACTCCATCAACAAACACATTGAATTAGACCCGGTGTACAAACCACTGAGAAACAGAACCGGGAGTAATACCAGCCACCCCAGCAAACCGAGGCACATAAATAACAATCGGGACAGAACACCGACGCTTCACCTAGCAGGGGGAACGAAACGTTTGCAACCAAACCCACTGGCTCGGCCAGCATGTCTACAATCAGTCGCCCCTTACTAATTATTTCTTAATTAACACGAAACAACCCCTTAACAGTTACCTTGTACTAAACCATTAACCCTTAACAATTACCCCTTCATTAACCCTCCCGAAATTAACTCTCCCGCAACGAGCCCTCCCCACAATAAAAGCGTAACCATCCACTTCAGAGAGATGCTTTTGAAGCCAAATACTACAGGGGGCGGCGTCGGGCAGGGAGGCACAGTTTGAAGGCTTGCGGTTGGGTGCAGGGCACGGTCGGATCGATCTACCTCCCCCCAACCCCCACCCCTGTTCCCGCTTTTGCCCCATGCTCTTGGATCCCTAAGATGTCTGATGCTGACCAAAGTGATCCCTCCCATTTGCTGGCTGGACCTAAGCCTTTTACGCCAGGAATGAGAATCTTTGAAAGTTCATTCCCTTCCCCTCTTGGAGGGTAAGAGAGGTCTTGCCTTGGCCTTTGCGATACAGAGCCAATCCGAAAACTGTTTCCAAGCAGTATTTTCTTTTTATGAGGCCTAATCACGAGCTAACTGGGAAAGCGTATTCCCTAAAGTTGCATGTGCTTCTGTAACCACTGGGTGCATTCTCTTCCCTTATGCTGAACGAGAGCAATTAATAACAAGTGAGACTTTGCAGCTCCCAGTTTATTCTTCCAAGCCGAATACAGGTGCTCTGTACATTCGGTTTGTGACTGTCCTTGATCCTAGCGTCAGGAGGTACTGTGTCCCCGAATCTGCAGAGGAGGACCGGGCATGTGTTAAACAGAGAACAGCTTCTCTTCCCTCTCACGGCTATTCGCCTGCAGTTGCCCTCGCGCCTGTGTTTTCACAATCTCTGTCGTCCATCTCTCACAGGTAACATTGAAACCAACCACAACATGCCCCCGTCTCACAAGTCCAGCAACAATCTGCTGCGGTAAGTCTTGTATGTGTAGAAATTAACAGAATAACAGATACCCGGGAGGGAGTTACAGACTGGAATCTAATCGAGGGGGTTCAGAGGGTGGTTTATACACAGAATAACAGATACCCCGGGAGGGAGTTACAGACTGGAATCTGATTGAGGTGGTTCGGGGTGGTTTATATACAGAATAACAGATACCCCGGGAGGGAATTACAGATGGAATCTGATCGAGGGGTTCGGGGTGGTTTATATACAGAATAACAGATACCCCGGGAGGGAGTTACAGACTGGAATCTGATCGAGGGGTTCAGGGTGGTTTATATACAGAATAACAGATACCCTGGGAGGGAGTTACAGACTGGAATCTGACCGAGGGGTTCAGGGTGGTTTATATGCAGAATAACAATACCTCGGAAGCGAGTTACAGACTGGAATCTAATCGAGGGGTTTCGGAGTGGCTGTTAGACCTCTCAGAGCTGGTGGTCTATTCCCCTGCGTGTGTTACACAGCCCCACCTTTGTAACCAGCCTGGTCTCTGCATTACCCTGATGACTCAGGCAGCTCCTGCAAGTGCCTGACTCTCTGTCTCCCACTGTCGGAGGAGATGGGGAATTTTTATTTAGCTTTTTCAGAGGGAGGCGAGTCAAGCCATGCAATTTTGTACACGTCTCTCTCTGGTGTTTCTCACCCTGGGCACAGTGCCTGCCCTTTCCCTTCTTCCACAGCGCTCTCCGACGCCTACCCTGCCCTGAAGCCATGCCAACTGCTTTGTAATCGCAACTCGAATCTCTCTGTCTCTGTCTCTCTCTCTCTCTCTCCCTTCCTCTCTCTCTCTCCTCCTCTCTCTTTCCCTCCTCCCTTTCTCTTTCTCTCTCCCTCTTATGTACTGCTCCCTCCCTGCCTTCCTCTCTTTTTCTCTTTCTCTCCACCTGCCCCTCCCTTTCCCTCTCTCTCTCTTTCTCTCTCCTTTTCTTCTACTACCCTCGCCCCTCGTTTTCTTTCCTCTCTGCCTCACTCTGTCTTTATTTCTCTCGCTGTCTTTCTCAATCTGTCTTGCTGTGTGTTTCTCTTCCAGGGGCACTCCCTCTGCACCCCCCTCCCCCCCCCCCCCGCCTCCCCCTCTTGCCCCCCCCCCCCGACTCCCTCACGCCCCCCCAGGGAAACTGCCTGTTTCCCTCAGTCTCCCTTTTGCCAACCCCAAATAGACCCTCCCTATGACAGCTGGCTATGCGACCACAGGGTGCATCACAACCACGCTACCAACCAGCATTTCAACGGGCTTCCCCCCCCCGCCCCCACACTCCCGGCTGAGTCCGCTGTTCGGCAGTGGAAGCCCTCGTTGCCGGCTTGGACACCAATCCCAGGGCAATTTGGCATCAATGGCAGAGTGGGGGGTGGGAGGGGTGTGTGGATTTTACCCGGATCTCCTTGGGAGGGGTGGTGGGCGGACACAGTTCAAATCCTGTCTGCCTTTTCTGCCAAACGTTTTTTGGACCTTTTTCGTAAATTACAGAGGCTTTGTTTAATAAAACACCCAGTAGGCTACAGAGGAGGGGGGTCCTTTCTCTCTATCCTGACTCCCACTTTTAGGAAGGATTTTTGAGCATCTGAGAGGGTGCCGAGGGAGAATAGATAAAGAACCAGAGGGGGGAGACAGATCGAGGGGGGAACGGGGTAAAGAACCAGAGGGAGGAGACGGATTGAGGAAGGTGTTTTCCCGGAGTTGGTGTTGTCTGGAAGGTGCTGCCTGAAAGGGTGGCAGAAGCAGTTTCTGTAGGAACTGTGCAAAACGGAGGAACGGGGAGTAATATTCCAAAGGTGGAAATCTTGGCAGGAAGCGGGGGGGTGGTAAGACCCGGGCTGTGGGGCTGAGAGTAATTGGGGTAAATCTTGCAGAAGAGTTGCCTCCGTCTTGTTTAGGTAAAAGACTGTGAAGTGTGGTTTGAGCTTTAGGGAGCATTGAGTATCTCTCGATCCCTGGGGATCAGGTCCAGCGAGCGGCGGGTTGATCGATGTGGGGGTGGGGGGGTGTAGTTATCCCCTCCCCCTCACCCTGTAACCGTAGGTTGACGTCAATTTCTCCCTCCACACCTCCAAACTCCTGCATGTAGCACCAGCCTCGACCTGTATGCCAACGTGATCCACTGCCAGAGCCTGCCAGGCGTCCAGACCAGGCACCAGGGGGTCGACATCCTCATCATCCGGGAGAACACCGAGGGAGAGTACAGCAACCTGGAGCATGAGGTGAGGGAGCGCACCCGCCGTGCCCACTGAGGGTCGCGCCGTGCATGCCTCGCTCAGGGCACCTGGGAGTTCCTGCCCCGAAACAGGTCGCTCGGCCCCTCTCTAATGGGGTCAGAGTTCCTGCTCTGCATCGGACTCCCACATCCTCCTTCATCCAGCACCCTTTCCCAATCCACACCGTACCCCCCAACCCTCTCTCTCACTTTCATACACACACTCAACGTGCACACTCTCTCTCTCACACACACACACACATACACATGCACTGACTGTATCTTTCACACACACACAGACACACACTCTCTCACACGCACTGACTGTATCTCTCTCTGTTTCACACGCTCTGACTGTATCTCTCTCTGTTTCACACGCACATGCTCGCTCTTTGTCTCTCTCTGACACACACGCACACTCTCGCACTCTCTCTCTCTCTCTCTCACACACTGACTGTATTTCTCTTTCACGCACACACAGACACACACACTCTCTCTCTCTCTCTCTCACACACACACTGACTCTATCTCTCTCTTTCACGCACACACAGACACACACACTCTCTCTCTCTCTCTC